TTTTTTTTATTTTGTATGTATGTATGTATGTATATGCATATGTATATATACATATATATGTGTTTATATATGTATATGTATATATAAATATATTTGTTTGTATATATATGTATATATATATTTGTATAGATGTTTGTATATATATGTGTATGTTTTTTATTTTGTATATATATTTATATTTTTATTTGTATATAGATATGAATATATATGTATTTTTTTTTTTGCTGTTTATTTATTTTATTTTAAATTTAAAAAAAAAAATCGATTTTTTTCATATTTTTTCGGAATTTTTTTTAAAAAATATGACATGGCATGCTGATGTGGTAAAAAAATCTATGTGGCGTGCCACGTCAGCCGCCACGTGGTATGCCACGTCAGCGGTTAACGGACACTTAACACCGTTTTCGGATTGTGTAGGAAATTGCAGTTAAATCGGATAATTCGTGTATCGATTTGGCACATTTGATAATTTGGTGTAGTTTTTTGTCAAATTAAAAATTCGTGTAGGAAAAGGTCACATTTTGTAAAGTTGGTGTAGGAAAATATCATTTTCCCTTTACTAAATCCTAGATTTTCACAATTAATTAATATTTTTTGGATTTTCAAATAATGCCTGCCAAGCTATCCACGGCTTTTATGGGAAGAAGTGGGCGAAATGATTATTTTTTGCTGCTCCACGCGTGTTGACTTTTTTTATTTTAGTTTTTTGTCTCTTATATAGTATGACATTTTTTTTTTATGAAATATGACGTTTTTTCACCTTATGATAAAGTATAATTTTTCTACTTCAGCGTAATTATGTTATCAATTTTTTTATAATGTGTCCAATCGAAAAGTTGCGAATAATTTGTTAAAAGAAGAATGTATTAACACTTGAGTATTTTTTATTTATTACTCTTCGTAAATACCAGACAAGAAAGAAATAAAAAAGAAAAAAGAAAATAGTGTTGGAAAATAATAATGGGGCTTTAAAAAGGCCCAAATTAAAGAGATCCAATATGAATTGGGCTTATGAAATTACCCGAATTTGACCCATATCATGTTTCTTTTTATCATTTCAAATCTGGTTCCAGCCCATTTATTTGTTATATTAATAATATATTTTCTTGTGTTAGCTTAAGATAAATTAATTTAATATGATGGGAAAAAAATAAATAAATGCAAATGCGAATGGACTCATTAATGGGCCCAAAAGTTTAAGAACCAAATATTTACCGAAGATAATAATTTTAAAATTCATTAGAACACCACAGATCAGTTCAATCTCAACAACAAAACGCAGATTAGATACCAATTCCCACGTTTTTTATTCAATGACTTAAAAAATTCAGTTCCTTTTTCCCTCCATAACGTTATAAATTGACTGTCAAAGGCTTAACTCAAAAACATCAATGGCTTGTGACCAATTTGCCAAAAATAATTCAAGAAAATGAAGAATAGGTGAGTTTGTAGATTCCCTCTCCCAAAAGCTGTCTCTGTAGGCAAGGGTAAAGAAATGGTAAGAAAATTAAAGATTGCAGTAAATGAGAAAATCCACATTTCCATTTTACCAAGAACAGAATAAAAAAACAAAAAATGAGTAAATGAAACCCTTTGAAAAGAACCCAGAACAAAAATACAAAATATATATGTATATAAACTTCCAAATAGTAACAGTTAACCACCACACTCCATGATGTCATTTACCATGGACCAGTTCCATAGCCAGACATTGTCACTATGTCTCTATGTATGTATATAGATAATGGGCATGGAACATGAAACTACACATTCTTCTCAGAGCTTCTCTTGTGAACTAAGAAAAGAGTCCAGAGGAGAAAAAAAAAAGAAAGAAGAGAAACTAACCATGAAGGAATTGTTGGTGTTCTCTGTTGTGTTCTTAGGTCTTGTCTCGTTTATTCATGGCCAGTCAAGGGACCACCCTCTTGCGCCGGCCTTGTTTATCTTCGGGGACTCATTGGCTGACTGTGGAAACAACAATTACATCCCAACGCTTGCACGTGCGAATTATCTCCCTTATGGTATCGACTTTGGCTTCCCAACTGGTCGTTTCTGCAATGGCCGCACAGTTGTTGATTATGTAGGTAAGGTTTTTAGATTTATCTTTTAGTTTTTGCCTGTGCAAGTAGGAAGGCAGAAAATGAATGGTTTACCTTTCTCAACTTCTCAGTATATATACATAGAAGTATTTATGTTTATATTTGTATTTGTATGTGGATATGAATATATATATATATATATGTGATTTTTTTTTATTTTGTATGTATGTATGTATGTATATGCATATGTATATATACATATATATGTGTTTATATATGTATATGTATATATAAATATATTTGTTTGTATGTATATGTATATATATTTGTATATATATGTGTATGTTTTTTATTTTGTATATATATTTATATTTTTATTTGTATATAGATATGAATATATATGTATTTTTTTTTTTGCTGTTTATTTATTTTATTTTAAATTTAAAAAAAAAAATCGATTTTTTTCATATTTTTTCGGAATTTTTTTTAAAAAATATGACATGGCATGCTGATGTGGTAAAAAAATCTATGTGGCGTGCCACGTCAGCCGCCACGTGGTATGCCACGTCAGCGGTTAACGGACACTTAACACCGTTTTCGGATTGTGTAGGAAATTGCAGTTAAATCGGATAATTCGTGTATCGATTTGGCACATTTGATAATTTGGTGTAGTTTTTTGTCAAATTAAAAATTCGTGTAGGAAAAGGTCACATTTTGTAAAGTTGGTGTAGGAAAATATCATTTTCCCTTTACTAAATCCTAGATTTTCACAATTAATTAATATTTTTTGGATTTTCAAATAATGCCTGCCAAGCTATCCACGGCTTTTATGGGAAGAAGTGGGCGAAATGATTATTTTTTGCTGCTCCACGCGTGTTGACTTTTTTTATTTTAGTTTTTTGTCTCTTATATAGTATGACATTTTTTTTTTATGAAATATGACGTTTTTTCACCTTATGATAAAGTATAATTTTTCTACTTCAGCGTAATTATGTTATCAATTTTTTTATAATGTGTCCAATCGAAAAGTTGCGAATAATTTGTTAAAAGAAGAATGTATTAACACTTGAGTATTTTTTATTTATTACTCTTCGTAAATACCAGACAAGAAAGAAATAAAAAAGAAAAAAGAAAATAGTGTTGGAAAATAATAATGGGGCTTTAAAAAGGCCCAAATTAAAGAGATCCAATATGAATTGGGCTTATGAAATTACCCGAATTTGACCCATATCATGTTTCTTTTTATCATTTCAAATCTGGTTCCAGCCCATTTATTTGTTATATTAATAATATATTTTCTTGTGTTAGCTTAAGATAAATTAATTTAATATGATGGGAAAAAAATAAATAAATGCAAATGCGAATGGACTCATTAATGGGCCCAAAAGTTTAAGAACCAAATATTTACCGAAGATAATAATTTTAAAATTCATTAGAACACCACAGATCAGTTCAATCTCAACAACAAAACGCAGATTAGATACCAATTCCCACGTTTTTTATTCAATGACTTAAAAAATTCAGTTCCTTTTTCCCTCCATAACGTTATAAATTGACTGTCAAAGGCTTAACTCAAAAACATCAATGGCTTGTGACCAATTTGCCAAAAATAATTCAAGAAAATGAAGAATAGGTGAGTTTGTAGATTCCCTCTCCCAAAAGCTGTCTCTGTAGGCAAGGGTAAAGAAATGGTAAGAAAATTAAAGATTGCAGTAAATGAGAAAATCCACATTTCCATTTTACCAAGAACAGAATAAAAAAACAAAAAATGAGTAAATGAAACCCTTTGAAAAGAACCCAGAACAAAAATACAAAATATATATGTATATAAACTTCCAAATAGTAACAGTTAACCACCACACTCCATGATGTCATTTACCATGGACCAGTTCCATAGCCAGACATTGTCACTATGTCTCTATGTATGTATATAGATAATGGGCATGGAACATGAAACTACACATTCTTCTCAGAGCTTCTCTTGTGAACTAAGAAAAGAGTCCAGAGGAGAAAAAAAAAAGAAAGAAGAGAAACTAACCATGAAGGAATTGTTGGTGTTCTCTGTTGTGTTCTTAGGTCTTGTCTCGTTTATTCATGGCCAGTCAAGGGACCACCCTCTTGCGCCGGCCTTGTTTATCTTCGGGGACTCATTGGCTGACTGTGGAAACAACAATTACATCCCAACGCTTGCACGTGCGAATTATCTCCCTTATGGTATCGACTTTGGCTTCCCAACTGGTCGTTTCTGCAATGGCCGCACAGTTGTTGATTATGTAGGTAAGGTTTTTAGATTTATCTTTTAGTTTTTGCCTGTGCAAGTAGGAAGGCAGAAAATGAATGGTTTACCTTTCTCAACTTCTCAGTAAAAAGGCAATGCCTCTTGTGTTGTGTTTGATTGAATCTTGAAGCTATGCATCTCGGGTTGCCACTTGTTCCGCCTTACCTTTCGCCCTTCTTCATAGGAGCAAAAGTCTTGAGAGGGGTCAACTACGCATCTGCAGCAGCTGGGATTCTAGACGAAACCGGTCAGCATTATGTAAGTTGAACTGTTTTTCTTAAACGATATAAGAACTTTAAGGCAATGATGCAAAAGGGTTGTTGTGTTTGGAAATGAAAATGTATACCTTTTTGTTTCAGGGGGCAAGAACTACCCTCAATGAACAGATATCACAGTTTGAGATTACGGTCGAGTTAAAGCTGCAACCTCTCTTTCAGGATCCTGCAGAACTGAGACAGCACCTCGCCAAGTCAATAATCCTGATCAACACAGGGAGCAACGATTATATCAACAATTATCTTCTTCCCGATAGATACCTCAGCAGCCAAATCTACACTGGGGAGGACTTTGCAGAACTCCTGACCAAAACCCTTTCAGCCCAGTTATCGGTAACTTCAGACCACACTACAATCTTACATTTTTGTTTCTTATAAATCTCATAGTACTATTGTAAAAGCCTCTTCTCAAAGCATACAACAAAGGACTGAATTTTAACAATCAAAGGCGCAGTCTTTTTCACACTCACACAAGTTTCTACACAGAAGCATTATTTTAGATAATCATTAAGCAAGCCGGCCAGATGTAGATTTTTTTTTATCATACTATGTCAGGCACGCATTTTTGTATAGGTCATATCAGAGAAGAGAACTATAAAAGTTCATAAGATTCTGATAAAATCATACAGTAAGAACCATACACCACTTTCATTCAAAACCACCAAGTTTTCTCCCTAGAACATATGATACCAAATTGACAAAAAAAGATCAAAACCTGCGGGAAAAAACACAAAAGAAAGGAAAGAAGATGATATAATATAACATATGTTCGTGCGAATTGCTCTGTTTTCTTTTGCCGTATATGCAGAGACTGTATAATTTGGGTGCAAGAAAATTTGTGTTAGCTGGGGTTGGACCACTAGGATGCATACCTAGTCAGCTATCTACGGTAAACGGCAACAACAGTGGCTGTGTTGCAAAGGTCAACAACTTGGTTTCCGCATTCAACAGTCGCGTTATCAAGCTGGCTGATACTCTAAACTCAAGCCTTCCAGACTCGTTCTTCATCTATCAGGATATTTACGATCTTTTTCACGATATTGTTGTGAATCCCTCTAGTTATGGTAATGACCTTCACCCTCTTCAACTGCATTCCTCCATTTTATGCCTATCTTTCTATAAGATCATTAGATATTTCCTCGAGTAATCACTTTTTACAATCTTCTTTCCTACGAAAGAGAAAGAAACTAAAATACACAAATTACGGAAATGCTTTCAGATTCTTACCTTTTCTTGTACAGGCTTTCTCATACCGGACAAGGCATGTTGTGGCAATGGGAGATATGGAGGAGTCCTGACATGTCTTCCATTGCAGGAACCATGCGCAGATAGGCATCAGTATGTCTTCTGGGACTCATTTCATCCAACTGAAGCTGTCAATAAAATCATAGCTGATAGGAGCTTCAGCAACTCTGCGGGATTCTCCTACCCTATCAGCCTTTATGAGTTGGCTAAACTATAGAGAAATGTATTAAATTTTAAATAGCAATGATGTGAGGGCTTAGGAATAAGATTTACATGTAATAGTAAGAATTATCGAGATGCTCAAAATCAGACCCTATGCCACTTACATAGTTTCATCCTCAGAAGTGACAGCAAGTTGTCAAACCAAACAGATTAAGGATTCCAGTATGACAGCCAATTGTGAGAGGTAAAGAGACAAAAAATTAAATGTAAAACAGAAAGTTGACCAGAACCGAATTAGACAGAGCATATAAATATCATTCTAAATGGAAGATACTGCAAGAAAGATAGAATCTAAAAATAGATGAGAGGAGCATAGATTAACCGCAGGCATTATCTGGTGCATTGACCATCTGTCAATTTTAGAGTCATACACTACGGTGGGCAGTGACCTGTCCCCATGTATATCAGTGGTGGCTATGACTTTGAACGATCTACAACCATTATCAATTGCCTCTGTTGGTTATAGTGCATATTTGGTAGAGTTCTCCATTCTTATGTCAAAGGATAACATACTAAAGCTTTAAAAGTTCCCATCAAGCCCCAAAAAGCAAATAAGACCACCCGATGAACCAACCAACCAGAAAGCCCATGGAGGCAAAAAGATGAACGGAATTCTGTAGCATGTTTTCAATGGCAAGCTAATAACCCAGCATTGTGGCATCTGCGAGTTCTTCCAAAATGTGAGAAGACAAGGCCCGTGAGATGGCACTTGAGAGTGAAACTTGAGGAAACTACGTTCTTGAAGAATCGAGTTCCACCTCTTGCAAATAGATCGGAGCCGAAATATCATAAACGGTGGAACCCTAGCTAAAATCTCATTCAGCAAGCCCTCTGGCAGCATTGCCCATAAACCATCCTCCATCTGAACGTCCGGATGGGATGGTTTACCAAATGTAGCAGCAGCAACCGTGTCTTCGTCTAAACCACGAGGTTTCATCTTAACCACTTTTTGCCTAGAGGGACTGGTATTTCTCGACCCCACTCGCCCGAAGTGCTCGACTTTCTCGAACCAAAACCCCTCATTGGTGAAACTTGCTTCCGGGAACTCTCTTTGTCTCCAGAAATCCTACTTCTCGTGGATGGAGAACAAGTAACCATATTTCCAGAATCCGATGATTTCCCGAGGCAATCCATGCTCATCAATCCCCAAAACCCTAGCCGCTCCAGTTTCATTGAAATCCAATCCGTGAGCTTTACACGCTTAAAATACAAACTACCAAGCTCAGGTGAATTTCACGGATTATATGACAACCCAGAAACGCAAAAACCCTTGAAGCTCACCGTGACATCACATCAGATCCCCCGAGTGAAAATCTCACAGACGAAAAAGACAATGCACGACGAAAAGCTCGAAATCAGGCATAAGTCGAGCCAAAGACGGGTAAAATCGCATAGATTGAAGCTAGAACGAAGATTACCTCAGGAGCTATGGAAAACCCATCGTTGATTGGCACCAACGGAAAGAATCCCATTTCTGGAGAACATCGCGATTCGCGAGGGACAAGAGACCTAATCTGCGACAGACCATTTTTTTTTTTTGTCATCGACAGCATCTCACAGCTCGGAAAATCACTCGATGCATCGCACCAATGTCAGCGATACACCGAAAAAAAGAAAAAAAAAATTCAATGCTACACCACTTGTGTTTTAAAAAGTCCTGAAATAACTTTTTTTCATATTTTTTTACTTTACGACCGTTGTATAAGTAGTATACAACTAAAAAAAAGTATTTAGGATCGTATAATAAGTAAAAATCTTATAAACAATTAGATATATTTTTTACTATCTCATTTAAAATCAATTGTAACTGTATTTAGAATTAATTACAACTATATTTAGAATCAATTACGACATTGCAATTATAATTACACGGTTTCATTAAGGATAATATAGTCTTTTCGAAAAAAATTTAATAGATTATATTTTTTTTAGGTGTATCCGAGAAATAAGTGCAACACGTTTGATTTGGTATATTTAAGTGATTTATCCTCTCAGCTCGTCAGTTTTCGGCAAGAAGAAGATGGGCTAGATTGCAGAAACATAATAATACATGGGGGGAGTTTTAGTCAAAATCAGCCGAAAAAAATATACATTTGGATGAATAATATTATAAATATAAATATAAATTATTTTTTTCCTTTGCTTGGAATTGGTTGCACTAAATATTAAAAGAATGAAAAAGTTCTTAAAAATGTGAAAATAATAAACCAAAAGAGATTTGCTAATTGCTTGCAATACCGTATGTTTGGTGTGCAGATTCCTCTACATAATAAAACATAACAATAATATCAATTTTAGAGTTAAAAATTGTCATTTATAAAATACCACATAATTTGTTACTGAAAACTAATAAATTAAATAATGTAACCAAAAAAATCTCAAACCCATACTGCATCGAATCATGGGCTTATGATGATAGAATACATGACTTTGGGCCATAAAGCCCATAATTGGGCGGTTCACCTCAGGCCCAAGCCCACCAAGTACAAAAATACCGAACCCGGTCCAGGCAAACCGGCATTGCAATCCTGTTTTTTTATTCCGAAGAACTTGAAAATAGAGAAGACAAAAAAAGGTGAAAGGAGAGACGAAAAGATCTCTCGGTGGAAACAAAACAAGGGTTTAACCAAGGTTTAAGGCGGCTTCGCTTATTCTACGACTCCCGCTCAGCTTTCGGATTTTTCTCTATGAATTCTTCCCATTTTCCTGAATTCTTCCTCAGTTATTATATCCTTCCAACGCTTGAATTCTCTCGATTTACTGTTTTTTCCCAGTTGAGTTCGCAATTCTTTTTCGATTAAGCTCGATTGATGACCGGTGTTAAACCCACAGTGATCTTGGCAAGTCCCACCAGATTTTTCGATCATTTGGTTCCACTTGATAAACCCTTGATTTCTTCTCGAAACCCAGTTGTTCAATCCTCCGCTATGTGGAGAAATATTGCTAAACAAACAATTTCAAGGTCACCGGTCAGATTATCCGTCTGTCGCCAAAGTCGTGGCCTTTTGGGTTTTTCTAGTGAATCCATTTTCCCGGAAATTTTCATATTTCGGCCTTCGGTGATCGGACCCATCTCAAGCTCGGGGTTTCACGATATGGGTTATTCTCGAACCTGTGAAATTCCGGCACCGGGGGATTTTTCCGGGAGACCCGGGTTCGGATTTCTCAAGGACGAGTGTTGCTTTCATCGGTTTTCTCCTAGAAGCTACGTGAATGCAGCTGAAGCGGTCTCGTCAACGGACATAGAGGAAGATGCATCTGTCGTGGATGAGGTACAGGAACTGTTGAGGGAGATGAAGAAAGAAGAGAAGAAGGAGAAGGTTCATTTGCGGCGGGTGAAACGACAGGAAGATCTTGGAATGTTGGAGAAGAAGTATCAGTCGCTCAAGAGAAGACAAGTTAAGATTGAGACAGAAGCATGGGAAAAAGCAGCTAATGAGTACAAGGAGCTTTTGACAGATATGTGCGAGCAAAAGCTTGCCCCGAATCTGCCTTATGTGAAGTCGTTGTTTCTCGGTTGGTTTGAGCCATTACGTGAAGCGATTGCTAAGGATCAAGAATTGTATAGATTAGGGAAGAACAGAGCAAACTATGCATATTATATTGATCAATTGCCGGCAGATATGATAGCTGTCATCACTATGCATAAGTTGATGGGTTTGCTGATGACTGGTGGTGATAATGGTTGTGTTAAGGTTATTATGGCTGCTTGTACCGTAGGTGATGCCATTGAACAAGAGGTCGGTATGTTGGTTCTTATGTTTTACTCTGTTTAATCAATGTTCTTTTGAATTTCTCTGGAGCTGGAAACTGGAATCACTATGGTGAAACTGTGAGCCTGAACTGAAAGTGGAAACTTGTGCTTCATTGTTACGAACAGAACACTTTACAGACGGTTTCACTTATTGAAGACAGAACCCTTTCTCCAGCAGAATTACATTTGTAAATAAATCACCCGAAGATTCTTTTATACGGTGGTGGAAAATGGTTAGGTTATGAATGATAGTATTTGTATATGTCAAGTTTCCCTTGCCTGTCAATTATTGCTCCCCTCTACCTTGAGGTTGCTGTTTTGGATGTCTTGGATCTATGAACTGATAACAAAATGTCATTTTTTTTCCTGATGGGGCAGATAAGGATATGCAGATTCTTGGAGAAAACAAAGAAGAAAAAAGAGAATATAAGTGAGGGGGTAGAGAATGTTGAAAAAGAAACTACGGTGAAGGAAGAAGACTGGCTAAAAAGAAAAGTCAGCGAGCTGATAAAGAAACAGAAGTTGCCAGCGGTTAGACAGATCTTGAACTCACACGATGCTTCAAAACCGTGGAGCACTGATGTTAGGGCTAAGGTTTGTGTGTGCTTGACAATGCAACTTTTGGGTTGAATAAGAAGCATCTCTTAGCTGCATGAGTTGCAAAAGTTTTTATAGTTTCTTACGCATTTTTCAGGTTGGAAGTCGACTTATCGAGCTGTTCATGAAAACAGCTTACATACAACCTCCAACTAATCAGAGGGGTGATGACCCTCCTGATATTCGGCCTGCATTCGTGCATACGTTCAAAACAGTAAAGAACAGCAAGTGAGAACTTTTGTTCTTTGGTTTTCAAGCATGCGTATTTGACATTTGCCCGGTAATCTTAAGGGTATATCTTTCTGGCTTTCCTTTTCAACAGGAAGAGTGGCAGGAGATACGGTGTGATTGAGTGTGACCCTTTGGTCCGCAAAGGCCTGGAAAAAACTGTATGGGTCCTCTGCTTCTTTATTTTGTTAGTCAAATAGGATTAACCAAGAATGAGATCACTTAGGAAACTTGGAACATTTTATGTTTCATATTGTTGGTTAGTTTACTCTCTCAAAGAATGAGTGCTGAAAATATAGTAGTTATTTGGGACCTACAGAATACAGATATGCCTGTCAGACGACTAGGCAGTAGGCATTCATGAGGAACAATCTATTTATTTTGTAGGAAGTTTGAAACATTGTTTTTCTATATGCAGGGTTGGCACATGGTAATGCCATACATGCCGATGCTTGTCCCCCCTGTCAACTGGTCCGGGTAAACTAGCTTCCTTGCTGTTGATTTTTGTTAAATATTTTTTGTTTGAATTTGAACCATAAAAAGGATCAAATATATCTTCCTATCTTAGTTTGTTCACAACTTTCTGACCAATAATCATTAGTAGGATCTGGTGATAATCTCAAAGCTGATGTCTTGTTAACTAAGTTGGAAAGGGTTGAAATTTAGCCTTTGAAAAGCTTTGACTTCTTTAGATCTCTGCGGAAGCAATTTGGAAGAATTTTTCGATACATTGGTGAGAAGTTATAAGTCGTGGCATTGTTTCTTTTTGGTGTTATTGTGCAGTTATGACAGAGGAGCTTACTTTTTCTTACCATCTTATCTCATGCGTATTCATGGAGCAAAGCAACAACGAGAAGCACTTAAGAGCACCCCGAGGAAACAACTACAGTTAGTCTTTGAGGTCAGATCTTATTGTCTCCTTGCCCGCTGGTTACCAGTTACATTTTCTGAGACTGTTGTGGCAATATCTCTTGGTAATCATTTAGGCCTTGGATACACTTGGAAATGCAAAATGGAGGGTAAATAAAAGAGTTTTAAGCATTGTGGATAGAATATGGAACAGTGGGGGCCGTCTTGCTGATCTGGTGGATCGCAGTGATGTGAGTTGCTTCAATACATTCTTTGATTTGTTGTGATTGCCATTTCGTCTGCTCAAACACTCAAACATTAGTCGTGGTTACTGCGGATAAAATTATTTATGCTTTGTGCACTGCAAGACATCTTTGATTTCTTGGATTTTCAAAACTGCAGGTTCCTTTGCCAGAAAAGCCAGATACTGAAGATGAGAACATTCTCAAAAAATGGAAGTGGAAAGTCAAATCTGCAAATAAGGAGAACAGGGAGAGACATTCTCAGCGTTGTGACATTGAACTCAAGCTCAATGTGAGATTCACTCTCCTGTTCAGCAGAGTAATATCCCGTTTTTAGAGTGATATCTTCTCCTAACTATATAAATTTGGACCAGGTGGCTCGGAAAATGAAAGATGAGGAAGGTTTCTACTATCCACACAATATTGATTTCCGGGGACGTGCATATCCCATGCACCCACACCTAAATCATCTTGGTTCGGATTTGTGCCGGGGTGTATTAGAGTTTGCTGAAGGCAAGCCTCTTGGAAGTTCAGGCTTACGCTGGTTGAAGATACACTTAGCAAACTTATATGCTGGTGGCGTAGACAAGTTATCGTTTGAAGGAAGGCTGGCTTTCACCGAAAATCACTTGGATGACATATTTAATTCAGCGGATAGACCACTTGAAGGAAGAAGATGGTGGTTGCAGGCAGAAGACCCATTTCAGTGCTTGGCTGTGTGCATAAATATTACTGAAGCTTTAAGAAGTCCATGCCCTGAAACATTTGTCTCACATATTCCTATTCATCAGGTACATTTGTGACATAAGTTATCAGATTTGTCTTCTAGACAGTGTGACTTTTTTTTGGATGATTTGTCTCAAAGTGCGTTATGTTAAACATCCCATCCTTCATCGTTGCCCTCTCCAGGATGGTTCCTGCAATGGTTTGCAGCATTATGCTGCTCTTGGAAGAGACACGGTAATGTTACCATTTCTTTTTAATGTTTGTTACTTAAATGCTAGTCATCATTCTCTTGCGATTTTGATTTGAAAATATGACTTTCAGTTAGGAGCAGCAGCTGTCAATCTTGTCGCAGGTGAGAAGCCAGCGGATGTCTACTCAGGAATAGCTGCTAGGTGAGTTCCACATCTCCTGTGTATGAGAAGAAGATGATATGGCTGATAAGATCTCAATCATAGTAAATAATTTTAAATGCATATATATGCTGCAGAGTTCTTGATATCATGCGACGAGATGCAGAACAAGATCCTGAAGTTTTTCCAGATGCATTGCGCGCAAGAAATTTAGTCAATCAGGTTTGTTTCACCTTTTCAGTTCAAAATTTTGGTATCTCGTTATCAGCTTCCCTGGTGGATTGAATATCCAAACTCTGATATGTTACAGGCTTACAGCTTCAAAAACCATTGTCTATCACTCAAAAAGTTTTTAGGACCGGTGGATAGACTTTATAAACTGTTTAATTCCACACATGTATATATATGGATATAGATATATATGTCTATAAATACAGATAAGTGCAAGTTGTCTAATGTTTTCTTGTTTAGCTAGTGTTTAATCATTTGACTGACTCTTTATTTCCAAATGGGTGTTGAAATCTACAGGTGGATCGGAAACTTGTCAAGCAGACAGTTATGACATCAGTGTACGGGGTTACCTATATTGGTGCCCGAGATCAAATTAAGAGAAGGTTGAAGGAACGCAGTATCTTTACTGATGATACGGAACTTTTTGGTGCAGCTTGCTATGCAGCAAAGGTAAATAGTGACAGCCTTGAAATATTTAAGCTTTAGACATTTTCTATTTCCCAAATTATCACAATAGGAAAGATACTAGGATAGTCAACCTTTTTGTACAGGCTTTGATTGAATTTCTAAACATGGCAGTAAAAACTTAAAATTTCCAAGGACCATATACTCGAGTTAACCGTGATATCACAAGGGGATCATCTTTTATATCCACCACATAATCAATCCGCTCATTCTTTTGTGCCTTGGACAGGTGACATTGACTGCTTTAGGGGAGATGTTTCAAGCTGCACGTGACATCATGTCTTGGCTTGGTGAATGTGCAAAGGTGTATACATATCTTTGATTCCCGTTTAGTAAGTATGCTTGTGAATTCATTCCTAAAGCGTTGAGTTTGATGTTAAATTCTTGGGACAATCAGATTATTGCATCACAAAATCAGCCAGTTCGATGGACAACCCCATTGGGTCTTCCTGTTGTGCAACCTTACCGCAAAATGGGAAGACATACGGTAAATTCTTTCCAAAGTTAGAGAGATGGTAAATTTAGCTTTAACCCATTGTTCTCATCCATTGGATCTAATAGCTGTTGATTTCTACGAAAATGATTACAGATAAAGACATCCCTCCAGGTTTTATCACTTCAATGTGAAACGGATAAGGTCTGCCAATTGAATCTGGTTTTCTTTTCTTATAAAAAGAAAAAGGAAGAAAAAGGATTAAACACAACCTGAATAGTAATTTGTGGGTTTTGTTTTAAAGGTCATGGTCAAGCGACAGAGGACAGCGTTCCCCCCAAATTTTGTTCACTCACTTGATGGTTCGCATATGATGATGACTGCAGTGGCCTGCAGAAAGGCTGGCATATGCTTTGCAGGTTCTTTCTTACTGGAGCACTCGATTTCTTTTCAACCTTCTATCTTTAATCTTGTTCTTGTTTCTTAATTATTTCGTAATACTTTGATAGGAGTTCATGACTCATACTGGACGCATGCATGTGATGTGGATGAACTAAACAGAACACTACGGGAGAAGTTTGTTGAGCTTTATGACAAACCAATCCTAGAGGATGTAAGCCTCTTCATCTCTGTGTATAAAGCTCGATCCTTTGATAGGTTGTTTAGCGGGTCAAGATCAAAAGTTTGTGTTTTTTTGTGTTAACAGTTGCTGGAGAGTTTCGAGAAATCATTTCCTCACCTGTCATTTCCACCTTTGCCCGAAAGAGGAGACTTTGATCTGAGGGAGGTATTGAATTCTCCATATTTCTTCAACTGAGAGAAATCTATGGTTTCACTCCATGTTCATCTCCATCTTCAAGGTCTAAAGAAAGGTACAGATGAGATTCATCTAGAAGAGAGATCTCCTGAGCATGTTGTAGATATCACTGACAAGAACAATCCTCATGACGTGAAGCTTCTACAAACACAACCCATCTTGTCTGTTGTTTCCGGTGGAGGGCAACGTCATGGGACCGGCATTCTCTCGTGTTATGTTCTCTGTGCTCTGATTCAGCTGCTTCAGAGAGCTGATGCCATATGAGCCCCCATGTGATTGGGAAAATATTTTACTGTACGAGCTTATACCTCAAAATCAGGTTTGGGAGTACTGTGGGCAACTGGGTTAGGATTCCTTGTATGTTGTATTGTAAACTGGTTGGTATACCGCCTAAAGAGTAGCAATTAAGAGTTATTAACCGAGTTGATACAGAATGGTTTTAATCAAAATACCATTTTGGAAGTTTCTTTTGACATTTTGTGTGCTTTGATTAATTATAAGATTTAAAGTTTCTCTTAGGGACAGTGGTCAGACCAGAACAAGAACCAGGAACATGATTTGGTTCCTCGTACTGCTTCACGCATGGCTGCAAGTCACATGCAATGCAGACCAATCAATTTAGCATAAATGCTGGTGGATATGCTTTTTATTTATTGAAGCGCAAAGCTCAGAAAGGATAATTAAAGTTTGATAATAAATAGAAATACATCCATCACTCTGTAAAATAGACCCAGCAAGATACCATCACCTGAGAAAAACAAACAAGAGTCGAGAAAGCAGAGAACCAACTAGCAAAATATGATAGTAATGACTGAAATTATAAGATAATTTTGAGCTAATAACCAAAACTGGTGGTGGTTGGCTGCTCAATCAAGCTTTGCCATTGGCTGCAGCAGCGTTAGCCGGCGGGTTAAGCTCGTCCCATGCTTGGATCCAAGTGACCATTGCCTCTGACAGCTTGTCAAAGTAAGGATCTATGGAACTGAGCTTCTCCTTCACCATCTTGGAGAGCTCCATGTAGCATTGCTGAACAGTGGTGCACTCTTTCGGAAGCTTCACGTTCTGGAAGAAGGGGATGATCTCTTCCTGCCAGAAAATGCCTTTGTATTCCTTCTTCAGGTTCACGAATGGGTTGCTCGCCTTGCTGTGGTAGATGTATGGCAGACCCGTCTTCACTCCCAAGCCCAGATGGTCACAGATGACCTGAGGGATTCACCCCGAGAAAGGTATGAAACAATCCACTAGGAATTGAAAAACTAAGAATTATTATGTTAGAGAGATGAGGAAACATACCTTGACACACCAACCAGCCCACATATCGTCGTAGCGTCCAATAGGCTGGCCATCACCCATGAGACCAAAGTACATGGCCGGACCGATCAAGTCACGGTCGAAACACAAGTTCATACCACACATTGGGAAGAGAGTTCCCTTTGGGATGGTCAGGACAGCATCCACATACCTAACCATGCGATAAACACCATTAGCAAAACATCAAACATGAACATAGATTGGTGCAAAAGTACTGGTTATTATTACCTGGTGTTCCTCTCCTTAGGCTTCACGAGTTGGGTCGGGGCATCGTAATCAGGGATGTTGAGCCAAAGACCATGGGAAACAGCAGTAGGAACACCCTCACGGAGACTGAAGGGGTATCCACGGACGAAATCAGCGCCCTCACGGTAAGGATCATACAAGGTGTTGAAGAAAAAGGGCGATGATGGAGAGAGAATGTTCTTGATGTGTTGCTCAAGAGCGTTAATGGCTTTGCCTGATGGGTCCTGGGCAACCTATACGTGAAAGAAAGTTTGATAAGAAAAACATAAAATGATATCCAAAGCCTGACAATCACAATCATGGATTTTCCATAAGATATCAAATGTCCCAAACTCGTTAAACAATATATGTTCTTGATGAACAGATCCTTTACCATGGTGGTACTCAGTTTATAATCATTCTCACATTGAACACTCGTGCTTCAAGAAGCTCATTTTAAGACAGGCCCCACAGACACGAAAGAGAATCAAAAGTTAAGATTTCTATGTCCCTAATGATAATCAAAAAGAGTGTTGGGCAATGACATGCAAGCACATTGTAAAGTAAACTATCATGACACAGATTATATCAGCTCATCACCATCGTCATCAATCAAAATGCTATAATGCTCTGACAGAATCCAGAGGGTAAAAATTTAGAGAGAATCATCGGTTACAAAGTCAATTCCTTTTCAATAAACCAAGCATTCTGGATGGAGACCTGTAAATGGAGATGAATGCTTAGATCAAACTCAGAACATTGTGTCCCAAATTGACCTAGGTAAGCGAATTGAATATCATCATTAAAATTTAAGATCTGTCAGATCTATCGATCAGGTCACCTGATCTCACATCAAATCTATCAGCTTTCAAAGAAAAAAGATCCAATCAGGCCTAAAAACCAGAACCTGAAAACAGATCTAGCACTTGAATTGACAAAACTCAAGAGCCCAGCTGAGGATCAAGCAGCAAAACGCAAAGCCAGAAAAGAAAAACCACAATTCAGAAACTTACGAAGCAATCGTCATCGATGGTGAAGATGTACTTCTTCTTGGACACCATGTAACCGAAGCACCGACAAGCCGAGTCCTTGAACGAAATGCAGTTGGCTTTGGGACCCAGGATCCGGTTAATGTCGTTCCTGTTGTAGAGCTCGTAATCGAACCCCTCAGGAACAGAGATCTTCTTCGACGGATCTCCGTCCTGGACGATGATCAGATGGTAGGGTTGGAAAAAAGGCCTCCACATCTCGAGGAAATCGAGGTTTCGGATCGTGGGGATGACGATGTCAAGCTCATCCTTCAGCGCCGGCGTCGGGTTCACCGGAATTCCAACGGTGTTCGCCGGTTCAACCATGTTTGACGGTGGTGAGAGAGACCTCGGATAAAGTTCGGCTGTGTTTCGGCGTTGCACGTTTGCGATGCGCCTCCTGTGTTTTGAAACTGAGATGCAGATAGGAGACCGGAGGAGGGTGTATATATACAGGAGTGGCAGGAGTGGCACGTGCGAGGGCAGGGAGGCACGTGCGAGTAAGACACGTGGCAAGTGAGGACTCGTTTAACGGGTCAACGGCTTTTGCCTGTTTGGTGGGAAAGGGAGGAGAGGAAGACTTTTCTCTTTTGTCTTTTTGATGGCCTTGTTTTTTTTGGGTATTTGCAATAAATACAAATATTCTTAAATAATAATTACATACTATGCTATTAGAGATGTAGAAACTGATTCGTAATTAATATTTTAAAACCGGAAGGTGAAAGTTTCATGTGTAAAATGGGATTAATTGGGGAAGTAAATTGAATTAATTTCCTTATTCAAACCGACGGATTAAATGCTTAGATATTTGCATTCCACTTTGCCATTTATGTAAGAAATATTGCATGTGGAAAACTATATATGGTAGTGTCTTTATTAATCCTCCTCCTTTCCCTTTCCTTTAATTTGAAGTCCATATCTTACACACTCCAATACATACACCATCTTCGTGTGTTTGTATGTACATTCATATATACATATATATATATATATATATATATATATTATAAAATGTATTTATTTCGTCAAGGTAAAGTGGTGGACCCATTTCTTGATGCACGTTGTATCGTATGATTGAAATGGATCGTCGTGGAAGTGGTAAAGCCTACGACTACATGTGCATCATGTTCATGTATACATACACATGCACGTATGCGATGTGATGTGATGCCCCCACAACATCATCACTTATTCTTTAAAATACTGTTTTTATGTTTTTTGGTCAACAGTAATGAATTGAATCATTGATTACTGAGTTAATTAGTAACCAAAATTATCATGTTGGATTAGAAATAATTAATTATGTTTATCCAATATTTGAAGAATAATGTTCGAGGCCCAGCAAGAGTTGAGGCCCAATAAAAATCATGATAAACAAGAAGCCTTGCAGATGGAGATGAATACCGATTCGATTTTCCGGTTATTCCTCAAATGACATTTGTAAAATTGAAACCGGAAATCTTTTGTACAATTTCAAACCAGACCGGGTTCGATGTTCCGGTAAGTGTCTAACCAATCATTTGCCAGTCAGACCCTAATTCATGACTTCGGCACCGTCCTCTCCCTCTGGTCAGGTCACTCTCTGGGACAAAAGCTTTCGCCGGAGACGAGTTCACGGCGAGGACCGCGGAATTATCAGAACGAGTACGTCTCTTCACCAATCAAGCATGAAACCCTAGAGTTTGTGATGGTGTAGGTATGGGTTGCGTTGGGTAAGGTTTTCAAAATTGACATCTCTAATCAAACTCTAGGGTTCCGACGAAGTAATCAAATTTACTCTTGGAGTATTCAGCTAGTCAGATTTCGATGCGAGATCCAGCTCTCGAATGATTTCGAGTTGTGAATCAGACATTCTCTTGAGACCAAGCAGTGATACGCCATGATTAGAGCGTCTTCGTACGTCAATAGCTTCTTCAGACATCGTGCTCGTAGGAATCCTAATGCCCAGCTTCGAAATCTATCTGTCGACGGTAAGGATGGCGTTTCTGAGGCCGAAGGATCGGGATCAATCGGCGGTGAAAGAGTTTCGCAGGATATTAGTCGGAGAAACTACACGGAGATGGCTAAAATCGTCGCTACGATCACAAGGGAGAAACCGAGATGGGAGCAAACTCTGGTATCTGATTTTCCTTCATTTAATTTCGCAGATCCCTTGTTTTTCCGGGAGCTGGTTGCAACTCAGAACAATGTGCTTCTGTCTCTGCGGTTCTTTCAATGGCTGTGTACCAATCATGATTGCACTCCTGACCCCATTTCCTCTAACATGCTCTTCGAAGCTCTTTTGGATGCAAAAGCAGTGAGAGCTGCGAAAATGGTTCGTGATATTGCTGGTTTTATTCCTGATTCCGCTTCTCTGGAGCAGTACGTGAAGTGCTTGTGCGGAGTAGGGTTTATAGAGGAGGCTATCGAAGTGTATTTTCAACTGAAAGAGGCAGGGATTCGTATATCAATTGTAGCATGCAATTCAATTTTATCAGGTTGCCTTAAAGCCGGAAAAACTGAGTTGCTGTTTGAATTTTACCAAGAAATGATCAAAGCTGGTACTGCATCTGATGCTAATACCGAGACTGTTGGATGTCTGATTCAAGCTTTTTGCGATAGTGGACAGGTTGCAAGAGGCTATGAGCTTCTGAATCAGTTTTTGAAAACGGGATTGGACCCAGGAAATCCTACATATAACAAGTTGATTGCTGGGTTCTGTCAAGCGAAGAATTATGCCAGTATGTCGGAAGTTCTCCATACAATGATAGCGCGGAACCATTTGCCAACCATTTATACGTATCAGGAGATCATAAATGGACTTTGTAAGAATGAGGAGTGTCTTGAGGCTTATCGGGTATTCAATGATCTCAAAGACAGAGGATATGCACCCGATAGGGTCATGTACACCACAATGATCCATGGCCTCTGTGAGATGGGCTCGTTTGGTGAGGCTAGGAAGCTATGGTTTGAAATGATGGACAAGGGAATGCAGCCAAATGCGTACACTTACAACACGATGCTACACGGGTCCTTAAAAAGTGGTGATTTTGAGCGTGCCTGTGAGCTCTACAATGAGATGTGCAATAAGGGCTATGGAACAACAACAGTAACCTGCAATAAAATAATCTCCGAGTTGTGCTCACGTGGAAAATCAGACGAGGCATTTGAGGTGTTCAAGAAAATGTCTGAAACAGGCATCCAGGCCGATGCCATCACATATAACTCTCTGATTCGAGGCTTTTGCAAAGAAGGGAAGGTCGATGAAAGAATGAACTTGCTCAATGAGCTCGTGGCCCAAGATCCGCAGCCTTCTGTTTCCTTGTACGAGTTACTCATTATAAAATCATGTAAAGACGGGGATTTTGAAGCAGCAAAACGTCTCTTGGGCGATATGAGCTCCAAGGGGTTACATCCAAATGCTTACACTTACGACACGATGCTACACGGGTCCTTAAAAAGTGGTGATTTTGAGCATGTCCGTGAGCTCTACAATGAGACGTGCAATAAGGGCTATGGAACAACAACAGCAACCTGCAATAAAATAATCTCTGAGTTGTGTTCACGTGGAAAATCAGATGAGGCATCTGAGATGTTCAAGAAAATGTCTGAAACAGGTATCAAGGCCGATGCCATCACATATAACTCTCTGATTCGAGGCTTTTGCAAAGAAGGGAAGGTCGGCAAAAGCATGAACTTGCTTAACGAGCTCGTGGCTCAAGGTCTGCAGCCTTCCGCTTCCTCGTACGCTTCACTCATTATACAATTATGCCAAAACGGGGACGCTGAATCAGCAAAACGTCTCTGGGGAGATATGGTCTCCAAGGGTATAGAACCGCATGCGAACCTCCGTGAACATTTGATCTCTGGCCTTTGCAAGCAAGGTCGTGCAACGGAGGGAATGGACCGGTTGATGGGAATGCTGGAGAATAAAATCAAACCAAAGAAGGCTGCTTTTGAGGATCTGGCCGAGTGCCTGATTCAGAGTGAGAGGTTTGATGACTGTTTATTGGTTTTGTATATTATGAGGAAGATGGGCTATGTGATCAAACGAGATGTTTGTCATTCTGTGTTGTCTAGACCTTGTTTGAAATAGCTCCGGTTCTGTGGGACCTTCTCCTTCGAGATCACAGAGACAAAAGGCTCATGTAACTATTCATTGATTAAGCGGTTCTGTAACAATAGATCTGGGTCGGTCCAATTTTTCCAGATTTGCGGTTTTTTTAAGGAAGCAACAATAAAGTTCGATACTTTTCCAATGTTTTTGTCTGCCCATTTGGAGGATGGGTTTAGCTAAATCGTTAACGAGATCACAGATACGGATTTGAAGGAATCCGTCGGAAACTTCCCCAAAATTGGAGCGATCAGAGGATTAAGAAACAAAAGACGTTCGTCAACCTCCTGTTTGGTAACTAGTTTGTATTAATCCCATACCAGAACATAACTATCCAAGCTTTTGGGAAGGTGGAGCTAAACGACGTCGTTTATCCTTTGAATCTTCCCCCCATCTGAACGAACAGAAAATCGTCGGCTTCTGTTATAGCTGAGGAATCTGTATCTTCTCCGTCGTAAATTACTCCGGCTACTCTGAATATTTGCTTACTGCCGGAATTTCTGTAGTTTTCAGGCTTCAATGTCATTCGGATTTAGGTTTACTCTCTGAAACTGGGATGAATCAGAACTGTATTTGCTCAATTTCTGTTTCTTCTTTATCATTTCCTCGCCCTTAGGATGTGTTAGTGATCCTGAGAACGTTTTCGTTTCTCCTCCGAGCTGGAATTTGTTCGATTTCGTGTAAGAATCATGCGGATGTCTATGATTTCTGGAGAATCGAGGTTCGATTATGTGTATAGTTCGATTAGGGTTTGAGAAACTTTCTGTTGAATCGAATACGATGAACTTGAGAAGAAGAGAAAAAAAAAAGGAAGAATGAATCAAATCCTACTTCTGTGCAGTAATGCTACCTATTTATTGTACAACGCGGAATTCCAAGAGTTGAATTCAGAGAGCAAGAAGCAGAAAACGAAAGAGAGGAGGAAAAAAAAGGTATCGTCTTTATGGATACCACCCGAACCTAAATGCACATCGACTCTTGCATCAGTGTGTTTGGTTTCTCTCTTAGTTCCTCGTTTTTCTTACTATGCTTTCACTTGTTTTGTAACCAAACGGGAAAAAAAAAAGTGCTCTCCCCCCAATGGCCTTTTAGTGTTTGTCCAACTCTTGCTCTCTACTCTTCTAATGAATGTCTCGACGAACGGTACAGGTCATACGGAGCCCAGAGATGATCGACGATGCACGGCTTCCTCGAATCCAGCCTCAGCCACGGCTTCCCTTTTCCACTCCAGTGAAGAAGGCTGATCGGACCAGGGTGCAACGTCCTACATTTCCCTTCAAAATTATCGCCCCCGAGCCCGTGCTGGTTCCACCTGTGGGTCACAGCCTTTATGTCTCCGGCAAATATCAGCAGTTTCGGCGTTGCACGTTTGCGATGCGCCTCCTGTGTTTTGAAACTGAGATGCAGATAGGAGACCGGAGGAGGGTGTATATATACAGGAGTGGCAGGAGTGGCACGTGCGAGGGCATGGAGGCA